AAAAAGTTGGGGGGTTAATAGCGATCGAGAAAAAAAACTACCAATTTTAAGGGCATATATTCGGAAACTTTGCATTAAAGTCGTAATTGCACACTTATATTTTAGAACGGTCATGTAGTGAATGGATTTAGAACTTCACATTTTGTGTAAAGTTCCACAATGATAATAATGACTGAACTCGACTCAAGCACATTTTTGCATGCACAGTCAAGAATTCAAACCCCAAAAATCTGGTGTCTTGCAAGTGGTCCACGAGAGTGGTCCACGAAGGTAGTCCACGGACCAGGTCCACGAAGGTTGTCCACGGACCTGGGGTCCGCGTTTTGTCGTTTCCCCAAATTTTGTGCGGTATATTTGCATTACGTGCGAGAAAAATAACCATTTGTGAGCCGAAAGTGCTTATTTTTACCGCGTGTGATACAAATATATACAAAATTTGCGAACTTCACACACAGGGCTATATTTTCTTCATTTTACAACATTTAGCAACCAATCTTTGCAGTTTTACTCATCGTAGGACGCTCTTGCCAGCTGTGTTGGTGGATTTCGTTCTTCTTGCCTTGATCAAAATTTAGTCACTCTATAACTGGAGGCCCATTAACTCTTTTAGATATTGCGCGAATTTTTACGGGTGATAATTGGAAATTGGAATTATTTAATTTTACATCTTTGTTTTGTCACTCTTCTGTGTGTCGTTAATCTTACAACTACCAAAAAATAAAGACTGCTTAATGACCTTAATCTTTATTATTATAACAGCCTTTCTGGTTGAAGATCGAATGCTTAATCCTTTTTTCCTGTATATATGCAACACAGTAATCACCAGGGACGCCGGAACGATCATAAGGCAAAGGGGGGCGGACCCACAGCAAGGGCACTTCTCTAAACCAAAACTTCAAAATCTTCCGAAATTTTTTTTTTCAAAAAAATTTCGGTCAGTGTACCATTTTAGGGGTCAAAAAAATTTTCCGGACATACCATACGTGAAATATAAACTGTAAATGTCTGAATCTCATAATTTTCGGACAAAAACCATCGTTCTAAATGTGATTTATCACGTAATTTTTTAAAACTGAAAGGGCACTTCTGCCCCCCCTGCCCCCCCCTAGCAAAAGGCAGGGGGGGCAGCCGCCCCCCCTGCCCCCCCAGTTCCGGCGTCCCTGGTAATCACTTAGTATAAATTTGCTATTCACTTTTTGTGGCATGAGTCAATGGGTAGAAATTTGCTATTCACTTCTAAATATTTAATTCGAACCCTGTTTTGAGACACAAAAAATCATATTTTAAATGTCTAAAACACTGTTAAATTTATACACTCGGAGTATATAACATCACAAGCACCTGTTAGAAACCGCTACCAAGAAAACCTCCGAGCCTGTCATCAACGCGCAAGAGACGCGTACATATCAAAGCTTCTGATCTAGTAATCTGTGACTATGTTTCGACGAAATTCCAAGGGAAATACACGCTTGTTTGCTCACAAAACATTTTGTAAACACTTAATTTATTTATAATTTATAGTTACTTACAAAAGAGAAAGTAGCCGTCGCAATTGGAAGAGTTGCAGTCGGATGCGACGGGCGACGGCTTATTTTGAAACCACTGCAGTCTGCAGATACTGTATCTAGCTTCAAAACAGTTTTGTAAAACTGAAAATATGTGAAATTAGATAATTTCACTCATCAGATGTACTGAAAGTAGTCACAGTAGTCACAGTACTGAAAGTAGTAAATATAATTTATTAAATATGAAGCAAGCTGCACAATATCACAATATGTTAATCTGACAACACATGTATACAAATAAAGTAAATAAAATAAAATTCTATTACTTGAATGTACCGGTATTTGTACTACTTCTGATTGAATATTTTTAGCTAAGGGACTGTTCGCTAATTATGGCCAAGGGGGGCTGGTGTTTATTTTTGTAAGGAGTTTAAAATATTATCAAGAAATGTATCCCCCTAAATTCGACATTTTTATGTGAGAAAAATGCACATCACACCCACAATGATTTTTTTCCTTGGTCCCAGTGTTTTATGTTCTAAATAATTCATTGTTCAAAAACCAAAAAGGAAAATGGAATTAGCAAGTACGTTGTCTTAGGGGTCTGGGATCGAGATTATATTTGTTATTTTTCATTTCCAAATATTTTATTTGATGTTTTAATTGGTTTTTTGAATTTATCAAAATATTCTGTTTTAATAGCGTTTTTCTGCTAATCTAGAAATTTCTTTTATTTTTGCCCAATACTTTCTTTGTATATTATCAAAGTCATGCAATGCATGAAATTGCTAGAACTAAAACTGTTCCCCCCTTTTTCATTGATTCAAAAAATGTACCCCCCCCCCACTTTTTTCCTTGGCCATAATTAACGATCCGTTCCCAAATGTGGTCAGATAAATTAGAATTTGAAATATATGTCTAAATAAAATCACCAGAGTGCTATAATATAGTAGAAGCTGCATGCCAAATGAGAAAGTGAATCAATGAATGCAATATTGTCAGTTTATTAAAACCATGCAATATTGTTCAGGAAGTCGTTACAGAATGGCACGTTTCCTTGCCGGGTTGCCAAATGCAAAACCTGCGATTTCATAGATTCTGCCACCACCATTTCGGCACCTAAATCTCAATACCATGTCAAGCACCATTTCATGTGCAGCTCCTCCCATCGCATCTAATGCAGTAGATGTGGCATGCTTTATATTGGAGAAACCGGAAGACCTGTTGCCAGACAAGATCTGTTGCCAGACATTTTAATACTGACAATTACAGTGTTTCAGATATGGAAATTTGAGCCCTCTGTCCCATTTCTGGATGCAACGATAGCCGCAAAAGACATGAAATGTGCCATTGTGCCTCATTTCCAAGCTTGGCACTGTCCACCCCTATGGCATTAACCCTTTAAGTGGCAAATATGCACCCTGATGCGCCTTAGCTACTGTAGTATAATAATTTTACTCTGTCTAATGCCAGACAATGTTTAACTCTATCTATCCTTGGCTATCAAAATCAGATCGATTGACAGTACTTTTAATTCTTACCTTATTCCATACTTGTTTCATACATTTTGTTGTATTTGCTGTAGTTTTCTGTATATTTGTATTTAGGGTTGGGCGATATTAAAAAAATCAATTCACGATTATTGTCAAGGAAATTATCACGATATTCGATAATATCGCGATAAACGCAATAAAAACAATGACCACATTGTAAAATTCTAATTAATATCAAAGCATAGTAAGCTTATATATAATCTTACTAAAAACAAGTAAAACAACAAATTAAAGTAATATGTGGGCTTTTCTAGTCTAACATTTACTGTTCATAAACCTGAACTGTCTATGCAGTGTTTACAGTGTCTCCCCAGACACAAATGCCATGGGCACACAGCGCAAGCAAAGCCTGCAATTTCATTGTTCAGCAACTTACTAACTTACCAAGGCTTACTAACTTACCAAGGCTTACTAACTTACCAAGGCTTACTAACTTACCAAGGCTTACTATCTTACCAAGGCTTACTAACTTACCAAGGCTTACTAGATTACCAATGATTACTAGATTACCAAGGATTACAAGTTTACCAAGGATTACTAGATTACCAGTGATATTAAGTAGGGATTATTGGGATGTATAAAAGTTAGAATGGTATATTGGTGACCGCATAACACCAGGAATTAACCAATATATCGTATTAAATTCGTATTTGATTCAGGAAATAGTTTTAATTCTCTTAAAAACTACAGTTTCTAGAAATTGAAGAAATTTTTTAGGATTTTTATAAAAGCTATATACACATACGAATTAGCAATATCACGATAGTCCACGACCATGACGATAATTTCGATATATCATCGCTCAAGTTTCTACCTTCGATACGATTCCCATCTCTTCTGTTTACCAATAAAAGTTGTAGTGTTCCATATCTAGAATCCTAACTCCAGTAAAGAATGCCTACGGTGGTTGAAAGCACATTTGAACTTGAATTTATACGCACATAGCAGGAGTCAAAGTTCAAAGTTCATTCTTTTTATTACAATATAATTTCTACTTCAAAAACAAAGACATCGTGCTATTTTGCTGTTGTATTTGTGACAGTGTGTACAGTACAATCTAACAACATTAGGCAACTTAAAAATGGCTTTTTGTGGTTGTAACTTTTCTTCAAAGAATCTAAAATCTCAAAATTTCCCCAGGGGAGCATGCTCCTGGGACCCCCCCCCCCCCTAGATTCTTCGCGCCTTTGGTGCTCGCACCTCGAATGCCGAGTGCATCTTATTAAATGGGTCAAATACATCCTTCTTCAACAACATAATATACATTACATAATTATATACATGCGACGTATATACATTGTGTGCATGGACATTCTATATATAACATATACATTGTGTGGACGTTCTATAATGATATATCCTTAACTGGTAAAAAAAAAGATTGTACAAAGCCAAAATTTGGTAGGTTATTTCCTGTACATACTGTTTTGGGGGCTTACTGTTCTGTACTGTAAATATAAACTGTGATTCTGCAAACTGGTTGTTTACTGAACCCAAGCATGCCCCCATGTAATGTTCCATCCTGTAGTTTTGACCAAGTATCCAAATGATACATTATATAGCACATAATATAGATTATGAACGCTACAAAGCTGCATGACAATTATTATTATTGTATAAATCTCCTCCCACTGCATCTAACATGTCGTGGTTTCTTTTCAGCAAAGTTTGACTATCAAGATCCAATAAATATTGACAGTTGTTTGAAAGATGAAGAAAGAATTGTTAGGTACAGAACTCCAGATGTCTAACCCTCATTTTCCTCTATTGATTATATTACAAAGACGGATTTTCTGGGTGTGCACTGCAGGGAGGTGTGCACCCCCAAAAATATTTTGCATCCCCTCAGAACGTTTTCCCACCACACCTAGAGAAATTACACCCCCAGACCTCTGCTGCATCTTGCTCGGCTACGCGTCTCCTCGTTCACCTCCCCCCTTGATTTTTTTGGTTCCCCAGCCCAGATCAAAATCTGAAAATCCGTCCATGTTATATTGTAGTGCTGGAGTTTTGGCCTATTTTGCCAGGGCTGGAGTTTGTTCAACTCCAGCACTACTCTGGCAGTACTTATTTGTGCTACAAACTATCGGCGAAAAAACCTGAATCCATCGACGAAAAAGTAAATACTCGCATTGATACTGCGTAAGCTTGTCACAAACATAGTACGAAATGTTCATGCGAAGTGTTGAAATCAAATTTGAAAAGGTGAAATTTCCATTAAATTTCGAATTTTCACGAATTTTCCGGAGCCTATGTCATTTTCATTTCCATGCTTGGTTGTAGAAGCTTTATTTTTGTTTATCCCATTTCTCATTTAACAAGATCAAGGCGGGATTTAAACTTTTTAAAAATTAAAGCAATCTTCGAAACAATAGAAACGAAAAGAATTTCTAAGAACGATTTCTTAGACTTAGGCATGAAATGTTCCAATAATTCTGAATACTGTATTATGTCTATGGTTTGTCCCAAAGTTCGTTGTTAGTACTTGTTACAGCTAGGTGCGATAATTCGTGTACTTATATATTACGTACCTGAGGTACGCCAATATTATGGTCTGGTACTACTTTCTCAGCAAAGTACCACATACATATACGCGATACACTCTCTATATCTGCGTACATTTCGCTGGTAGCATATGATCCGCAACTTTCCAAGGTACATTCAGAACCGTAATCGTAGCTATATTATACATCTGACATGTCTTGGATATGTGTTTGTATTGGGTCATAATCATTGGAGTACCAGTGAGGTACAACTAAAAAATCTTGATTTACGCACCCTATAACCTGTGTTAATATATCGTACTTTTGTTAAAGCCTTTGATTCAACTATATATGTTATAATATCATGATTACTGCATGAACTATCAGTAAAACTTGTCTACATTGTCTATAATTCAAGAATCGTGTGATTATTATTAATTTTTATTTTTATAGAGATCAAGTACGTGCATATTGTCAGGAAAAATTGATGCCAAGAGTTTTAATGGCAAATAGAAATGAACGTAAGGAGAGGATATTGAGATGATCTAAAACCAGATTTTCACTTGTATTGACTTGAATAGGCAATTCCAGCTTTTAGTTTATGCCTGCAGGGGATGATGGGAAGTAAGGTATCATATTGCTGATTATGCTGAAAAATTTCAATAAAAACTACCGAAACAACCGAAATATTTCAATATTTACAAGTATAAACTATCACTCCATGTTTACACGGCCACCATTTTTATTTTTTCAGCATAATCAGCAATATGATACCTTACTTCCCATCGTCACCTGCACGCATAAACTAAAAGCTGGAATTGCCTATTAAGATACTGTAGTTTACTATAAAAAATTCTTTTTCACGGATTCTTGTAATGTGTAGATTTCCACAAAGAAATAATGCCAGAATTGGGGGAATTAGGCATTCTTGGAGCAACTATTGATGGTGAGTAGAGATAAAAATCCCTGGATGTTGTTGTCGAGATATTCACCAGTCTGGGGATTGCCCTTTTGGGTCATAAACTCCCCATAATTTCTGTCGGCGGGGAGAATGGGGGGGGGGGGATTTTCGACACATCAGTGAAGACATTTTATCAACTTTAGATCCTCCTTTTCTCATGATTTTAATACATGTCGGGCTTCCCTTTCATCATTTTCCCAATTTCTAAGTAGTATCTTCCCCCTCTCATACACCAATGCATATAGACACTACAGATAAACATGTTGCTTTGCAAAGACATTCACATGAAAAGAAAATAACGGATCGAAATAAGATAACAACAAAGGATTTGGGGCATCTTACTCGATAGAACTAATTGTTGAGTGTTTTTCTCGATGGAAATTTCGAGTGTTAATTTTCTACATTTATTAAACCTGACCAGGAGCAGTTGCAAAAAATACAACTATATATAGGCCTTCTGGCAGGAATAGAACCCGCAGCCCTGCGGTTGGTTAGAGCTCGACAACCTTCCGAATTACGCTTCGTGAATCAAAACGAAAAGTGTAATCGCAATGAAGGTCATTTGCATTAACATCTCACTGCAAATTTCACAGAAAGAAATTACAAATAGTTCAGTTTGGGCAACTTCATATTAAAACTGTACTTCATTTATTTCCGAATACACTGGCAGTATTCTATTAAATTGATCGCATTTCTTTTTCCTTATTGTCGTTATTGATTCATTTTTTATATTTTATTAATCCTTCCTAAACCATAAACCCGCCATTTATTATCTGGGATCAGTATTTTAACTCGATCAGATCTAATGTATTGTACTATATTATTGGTACTATTGGTATACAGCCTCCTCCTCAGGCAATTCTGTGGTAAAAAAACCTCCGATCTCTCTGACACCCAAATCAGTAAATCGTTTCTGCGACCCTAATTCGGTCCTGCGGTCTTAACATTGGCATCACCCTAATATTTATGCATGAACTTGCAGTTAGAGCTCGACAACTGGCCTTTGTTGCTCTGTTGGTTGGAGCACTGCACCGGTATCACAGGGCCGCAGGTTCGATTCCTACCAGAGGGCCTATATAGTTGCATTTTTCGCAACTGTTCCTGGATAGGTGTATTAAATGCATAAAATTCACACTCAAAATTTCCATTAACACAACACCTTAACATTAACAAAGTCATCTTTTGGAGCAGCGCTTTCCGTCAGTATATTGACAAACTAGTATATCGACTTGTACTCTATATTTTTTATTTATCGGAAGGCTGAGATTTTGCTTCACGCACGTGCGCAGTTTAATAGTCGTGTTTGGATGTATGATAATTGTAAAACTAGTTAATATCAACATTTCTATATTTCCAGGCTATGGATGTGCTGCAGTTTCGACGGTTTCTTACGGATTAATCGCTAGAGAAGTGGAGAGGTTTGTATTCAGTAAAGCTGTTTAAATATCCCACATTACTGCAACTTTCAAAATCCGAAATTTAATTTTTATTACTGCATAAGACTTGTCCAAAAATTTCATCAACGCGGAGTGGTAAATTTGCCAAACGGTGTCAGCAACTACTGATGCAAAAATGAATAACATACTATAGTGAATTTTAGTGGTGTTTCATGATCTCCAATGACCATAATGGGGTGTACCGTGTACTATCAAACCATTGACTAGACTGGTCCTAGTCCCTGGTCTTTTATGCACGCGCTTTGGTTTCCCATGATGTCACAGCGTAAAGAAGGCTATATATATAGGAACAACAAAAGCAGGGGTGGAAAAAATAGGCGAGCACGCGAGCACTGCTCGCAGGAAATGTTAAACAGCTGCAGGAAATTCCTTTGAATGAAGATTTGCTATTGGAAATTTGAAGGAAATCTTAACACCCATGACCCACTATGGGCGCAACAACATATGGTTGACAGACATTATTCCTTGAATTTAAAACCATGGTAGGCTAGAACACTTTATGTTTATGCACATGAAGGATTTAGCACACAAACACTCGTTGGTCTGCAGGAAATTTTTGTCTCCAGGTTGTGCTCCCAGGAAGAAAATTATTTTTTCCTGCTCTGAACAAAAGGCCCTTCCGGAAAGCACGTCATTTGGTTATAGAGCCTCGTTTTCCCAATTGGATTGAACTCTTACTTACACGAAAACGAGTCTATACCCAAATGACGTACTATACGGAAGGGTATATTTCACTTGCAGGAGTGCATGAAACACAAAAAATACCTTCTCTTGGTCCCGGAAAGTCAAATTGGATTCTACGACTATTTTACGGGAGCAATAAGCCTGCTAACGATGGTGATCTTTCAGTAATCCAGATATTTCTACTGTATATATTGTGTATATTTGTATTTTCATTTCAGAGTTGACAGTGGTTATCGTTCAGCTATGAGCGTTCAGTCTTCACTAGTTATGCATCCAATTTATAGTTTTGGATCTGAAGAGCAGAAAGACAAATATCTACCAAAACTAGGTACGTTAAAATGATTGTTTAATACTGTTAACCAATCAAACCAGAATCTTTTTTATTGCATGCAGATAGTCAGCAGTGAACTCACTATTTTTAAAAACATTGAATTCAGTGGAGTTTGTCGTGAAGCATACACGCATAAGGGAGTGTTCATTATTTATACTCGGGGTTGGTACCGAAGAGAAACTAATCGAAAAGAGAAAAAAACAACCACCCACCCTTTCGGTCAACCATTGTTTTCCCTACCCAACTATTGCATGACTTGGATTTTTATTTTACCCAACCCAATTTCAAAATTATATACACTATGAAGTATTTTACATACATACATATATATTATTTATACAAGCTAGGCCACTATAGTATAAACAGTACTATGCATATTTGGTGCACTAACTGAATGTAAAATATAATCATTTGTACCTTCACAAGTTCATATTATGTTCCCAAGTTCCTGCAGTCCTACTATGTCTCGTTGTTGTAATCAGAGGGGATGGGGAGTTGGAGTTTAATTTTCTTTGTGTGGAATGAATGGATATTTCCTGGAATGACCCATTTTGTTAAATAAAGGATTTTCATTATTTTGTTCTATTGAACGTTTGTATTAAAAATAATTTACCCAACCATAGGCTTTGTTCAAAAAATATTTACCCAACCCTTCATACTCCAGAAAAATGGCTTACCCAACCCATTTCTCTTCGGTACCAACCCCGGGTATAAATAATGAACACTCCCTAACGTCATTCCATACTCGCACTTGACTAGCCTCCTCCGCAGGCATCTCTACAGGGGTCACTTGTGGTTTAAAAAAACTAGTTGACTTTTAACTCGTCGGACACGGTCACCCCTGGAGATGCCTGTGGAAGAGGCTAGGACGTGACAATGTCAGACATACACTCGATTTTACATTATAACTTGGCTTAGCTATATATTTGGACTTGAGGTCATATTAAGATCAATTCCTATATACGTGTCAACTATCAACCTTGGCAAGCCAGGGTCTTCACCTCCGCACGCTACGGCGAGATTCTGGTTGCGGCTGGTCACGTGAGAGGGGGAGAGGGACGAGTATCAAATTACATGTTTCCACAAAAAACCGTTACACTTCAATTGCAAGGAGTGGGATCAGAGAGTGATATAAATTTTGCGATACATAGATCGAAATGCTTGCTAGTTTTTATGTATTTCTGTACAGGTAAAGACCCTGGCTTGCGAGGCTAGCGAATATTTAGTTTCCTAAAATTGACCATGACAACATAGCCATAAAATAGGCACGATGTGCGTACATATGCGTCTGCTATTTACCACTAGTCAGGGTTTCCACTCATATATTTCTCAGAAATATCTATCGTTAGTGGGGGTTTATACATACCCTTCTCTTCTCTTCTCTCCGATATTTTTTCCATTATAAAAGGGGAGCAGCAATTGCCCAAACGCTTGTTTGTGTTGACTTTGAATCTACCGCGATTATGTATTAAGTTCTCCCGTTGCTAAACAACATATACTGTAGACGGTGAATTGTTTCTTCAACATGACTTTTTTTATGTGTGGACTTTAAAATAACTGGTTGACAAACGGTACTGTAAGTCACATGCATGCAATGGAACAATGTAGACCTGTAGAGTTTTACTTTTCTTGATGTAGCTAGAGGAGAGTTAATTGGCTGTTTTGGTTTAACTGAACCCAACCATGGCAGTGATCCAGGCGGTATGGAAACAAGAGCAAAATATCAACAAAGTAGCAAAACATATGTTTTAAATGGATCAAAATCTTGGTAATTATTATATCTGTACCTAATGGTTGAAAATTGAAAAGGCTGCAATTAGTGCAATATTCCACGGTGCATGCAAGTGCACAAATGCACGTCCTGTCTCTCTGTCAGGAAAAAAAGTCATTTGAATGACAATGAAAGTGAAAACATTGCATTTTAATACAATTTAATAGGATAACCAACTCCCCAGTGGCAGATGTATTTGTCGTTTGGGCAAAATGTGACGATGACGAAATACGGGGTTTTATTTTGGAAAAGGTAAGAGTGTATATGCATGATGTTTATCCAAAAGTAAGATGCATGATGTTTATCCAAACCCGTTTTCTACGACACGAATTTTGTCCCGAAAATTCGCGACCAGTAAATAAAATGTAGATGCAGACATATACCGTATGCACCAGCCAGCCATTTCCTTCGGCTAACTTGACCTACAGTACATTGGTAAAAATATTTTATTTTTGGTGAACTATCGGCCATGCAGTCTATAATTAACGTATGGTTGTGCTTATAGGAAATGAAAGGACTAACTGCTCCAAAGATTGAAGGCAAATTTTCATTACGAGCGTCAGCAACAGGGATGATAGTCATGGAAGATGTTGAAGTTCCAGAGGAAAATCTTTTACCAAAAGTCAGTGGTTTGAAAGTACGTATTTCAATATATTCTTATAGTTATACCTCGATCGTGCTGGAAAGATTAGCGATAGTGGATCAACAGTAAGCAGTCGTTTACATTCGTTCATTATATTTTCCACGAAACTCAATACAAAGTTTAATGAAGAAAGAAACATGCAGATTCCGAAAAAAATGCTTGAAATATAATACAAATGAATAATAATAGAATGAGGAAATTGTTTATTTCAAATTTGCCATGAGAAAGAATAAATACAATATACTTATATACAGGAAGATAGCGAGAATATATTGCGTTCCTGATGATGTGATTTTCTAAGAAATCCGACCGACCTTCTTTTTTTCTGCCGACCCTTGGGCGTAGTTGGGTTGTTCCCTTACCTACCGATCCTATTTCTTCCCATAAAACAACGTGACACCAAAAGTGGCATGATTGCATCCGATTTCCCAGAGTTATTGCTTCTTGAGTTTGATCAGTTAAAAACGCAACGTTACCATGAATTTTTTTTTCAATGTTAGGGTGCATTTAGTTGCTTAGATAGCGCAAGATTGGGTATTGCGTTTGGATGTTTGGGTGCCGCTGAATTTTGTTACGAAACAGCAAGGCAGTATACTTTGGACAGGTATGTGACTAAATTGCGCTTAAGGTGCATGGCTCTATAATTATACGGTTTTCTAATTCTGATTTCGAATGTCATGCAGGATTCAGTTTGGAAAACCTCTGGCTGGTAATCAACTTATACAAAAGAAATTGGCTGATATGGCAACTGAGGTATGTGCAGTGGAGCTTACGAAATCAAGACTCCATATCTATGTATAGTTAAATTGCCAATAGCGACTATATAGAGGATATGGATATCCCGCAGGAATGAATTAATTTGACCGTGTGAAGTGGTGTATACGCCAAGATGGATGATCAGGTTAATGATTAAAACTTTCTCGTATTTAGATTTCCCTGGGACTTAATGCTGTTGTCCATGTTTCAAGGCTAAAAGATGAGGGAAAGTATGTTCATTTTGCGTGTTGTATTTCACATCCATTTAAAAATTTATATAAAAATATTACCATATGTCCACTCTATTTTTGGTCACATTGACTATTAAGAACCACATCCACTGCCTCATATTCTGATTTGAATTTACCTAATAGGTCAGTTTCATAGTACAGACCGGGTTTAAATATTTTTTACCGACCAATCTCTGTAATATCTGTTATTGCAGTTAAAATCTTGTGTGTTAATATTCTTGTTGTTTGAGCAATATTTTGATGTTAGAGGGACTAGCCTTGAATGGTTTAAGTCCTATCTTAAGAATATAAAACAAATTAACGGGAAGAAGTCTGTGCAAGCGTTGTCAGATGTGGGGTCCCACGAGGGTCCAACTTTGACCCCATCGTGTTTCTCTCGTTGAGTCGTTGGTAGCAAGTAATTTAATGTCTTTAAAATCCTTCGCAACAGCTTTCTGTGCTGCTCCGCCGCTTCTTTCAAAATGTCCGTAAAGAATCTGGTATTTAGATTTATGAAATATTTTTTAAATCATAAAACACCTTCATTTTCACAGACATTGTCCAGAAATGGTTTCATTGACGAAAAGAAATAATTGTGGAAAGTCATTAGAAATTGCAAGAAATGCGAGAGACATGCTAGGAGGTAAGATTGCTTTAACGTACGATCTGCTCCATTGAGCTGAATGAGCTACCCTGTATAAATAGACGATATTACCCGGCGGCGCGAAGATATGACTATTATCTTCGAGTGGTGAAAACAATATTTTACGAACGAGCGCAGCGAGTGAGTAAAATATTGTTTTTAACACGAGAAAATAAAAGTCGTATCCTCAAGCCACCGTGCATGTAATGTTCTATTTATTATATAGTCCCAAGCAAAAAATTGTGAAATTTCACGCTTTATAAAAGCAAATTGGAAAAAATCACGTGATCCATATCTTCACTAGTGAAGATATGGAAAATATCTCACTGTGTATTTTTCAGTATCTCACTCTCTACTATATAATAAATAAAGTTATTCCATTCCAGCCAAGATGGAGATACTCCACCGAAATCCCAAGCTTACGAATGCATCCTTGGACATTCGATTTCATTTTCATCTGCATTTCACTGCAACCTTGTACCCAGGGATTCTGCTGAAAAACACACACGCAGAAGCCCTGGTTGCAAACATTCTTGGAGCTGAAAGCATTCCAGAAATGTTTGTCCCAGGCTCAATAAAGCCTCTTGATGACGCTGTATAGAAAATAAAATTGAAATGTTTTTGCTGGCATTTCCCCACTGTTTTTCCCCAATCTTCAAACCTCGTATCGTTTATTCACCAGGTAATGGCATATGCGATGAATACCACGTCATTCGTCACGTGATGAACTTAGAGTCTGTCAATACCTATGAAGGTTTGTAATCGTTTAGGGTCTAGTATTTCGTAGATTGATCTGCAACAAGTGTGTTACTCGAGAACAATTATCATAACGTTCTTTCTCCGTAGGAACTCATGACGTTCATGCATTGATTCTTGGTCGAGCAATTACTGGACTGCAAGCATTTATGTCGAAATAGTAAACTGTCTACTTGAGAATTTTGAATAACTATTATTATTTATTTAAAAAAATCCTGGTTTCTGATTGGCTAACAGCCAACTGTGAAATTGTCATATCAACTCAATGGCTAACCAAATACGGATTTTTCTCATTCATATTAGCAAAATGACGTCAAAAAGTCAATATGAAAAAAATTTGGACGCGCTTGCGCCATATTACTATGACGACGAGAATCATATTGACTCGCTGACGCCATTGATATGACGCAACGACGGCTGCCGAAGAACTAAGGAATTGTTTTTTTCTTAATACAAATAAAATACAAATGTTTGTTTTGAATTTTTTAAATAAATAATAAAACAATTATTGAATTCGGTTTTCGCACAATATGAAGAATTACCAAGCCCTCAGTTTGCCGTTATCAGCCTTCGGCTTCGGTTGATAACGGCAAACTTCGGACTTGATAATTCTTCATATCGTGCTCAATCTCATTCAATAATTGTTAAATATTGAATAGTAAAAAGGCTACATGGAGTGAGTGTATGGCGGATCAAGTGTACGTCGTATTATACAATAAGCTGTCGTGGTTGATTTGTGGTCGAAAAAATTAAAGCTCAAAAAGCGTGGCAGCTGTTCGAATCTGTATTTACACTTAACATTGTAACTTTGTAGAAACTGCCTTTAAAGTTTAAGCTACTGTATTTTCTAATTATGAGCTTCCTGCATGTTGCTAGATCCTATGTATGGATACGGCCCTGAGAAAATATTACCGAACATAGATAAAAATATATCGTCGATATTGGTATAAATACATTAACATAGGTAAAATATTTTATGAAAAAAATCCATGCTGTCATATTCCAGACGAACATTTATAATTGGACAGTAGTGTGAAGTAAGAGGAGTGGTTTTATTTAAAACATTAGATGTAATAGTATTTAGATATTAAAATATATTGAGGTCTCTTTCACTTATGGCTTTATCGAGAAATTGTTTATGCCCGTTGACACCCAATTCACTCCCTTATATTTAAATGTTGCTTATTATATCCATTCTATTTTACGCTAAATTATCAGAACAATGGTATCTGGGCGTGTGAGTTAGCTGAAATATGGATTAGGTGGCAACAGGCATACACATTCGTTAGGTGATTACAGTTTAGTGACAATGGCAACATTACAGTTTAGTGACAATGGCAACTCAATGCATATCAAAAATATCCGTTAGCTACAGTACTTAGCTGATTAGTTCTGTTTCTATGAATTCACATGGTAGATTGTTTTCAATTAGAGTAGTGGTAACGGTCTGTACGTAGGCTATTAATTAAACAATGCATATCGATATAAAGAAAGTTTAAAAAAAGTACTAAAACTCAAAGTTGTATGTCTTTCTTACAAAGAACGAGTGCAGGCTCACCCGCAGGTTAAGTTAATCCGTCATAACAAATATACACAACAATTCTAGTAAAAAGTATGTTTGGTAGAACAGGGGCATCAATATTTTATATTTGACTTGCAAGCTCGACGTTTTGCCAAGGATGAATTGCCAGGTGGAGACAAACCAAAGGTACCAAACAATCCAGTTTTGTCGCTTTTACTGGCAAGGTTCGCATGTTCAGCTAACGTACGACTGGCTGCATTTGCTTCGTCTAGGAAAGATGATACATCAAAATTAACACGTGGCGATTGAACTGGTGTTCCACTGGGGTCATGTTTGGAACCTTCCTGTGTAATCCATGCACAATTGAGTACTGTATCTGCTGAATAGCGTCGTGATGCATCACGGACTAGTAGGTGTGAGATAAGATCCTTAGCCTCACGAGAGACGTGGCTCCACTCAGCACCTGACAGTTTATAACGACCTCCTTGGATGCTGTTCAGTAACATGTCCTGACATTCATCGCATGCTTCATTGCTATCCCAACCACAATCTTCACCACAATTGCCGTAAAATGGTGGATGACCTGATAACATGATGTACAGTATCACTCCTAAACTCCAGAGATCACAACGTTTATCGTAACATGTCGCTTCATCTTCGTTAACGAATGCTTCTACCACTTCCGGTGCCATGTACTCCGCTGAACCGACTGGGGTTTGGAGAACTGGGGTCGATACAGGTTTTGTCCATGATCCAATGCCACTAGCAAGGTCAAAATCACAGATCTTAACTGGAGTGATGGTTTCTTCATTATCACACAGGATATTGTCAGGTTTCAAATCTCGATGTGCAACACCATGTTTGTGCAGAAAACTTAATCCCGTACTTAAATCTTTCACCACTTCTCTGGCTTTAGACTCCGTGAACAGCACCTTTCTTTCAATATGTCTGAGTAAAGATCCACCCTTCATAACAGGGTACACAAATATGTACCTTGAACTTTCTTCAAAGAAATGTACCAAGCTTAAAATATTGTTTTGTTTTCGACATAAATGATGGAGATCAACTTCGTTTATGACTCTATCTCGAGGTATGGCGTGATCGTTATCGATAATTTTAGCTGCATATTTTTTACCAGTCGTTATTCTCTTGCATACAAACACATGGGAGTAAGAACCACTGCCAAGGTAGTCTTCACTTAATGCATACATACGATCAAATGTCTGGAAGTCTTCACGAGGTGGTCGCACTTTCTTCTTACGCGATGTTTTTACAACACGGACATCTTTCTTTTCCAAGTGATTTGTATCTGGAAGTTGCAGAATGTTTACTCCTTCGGGGAAAATATCTTCATTTTTCTCAGGTGCATTCTCTGGTATTACAAGACCATTTACGCCATTAGTGACATAATTTACACCAGACAAATTGTCTACGTTCGCCATATCCGGACCTGCAAAATAATATATAAACCACTTTAAGCAATAGTGTTACTGTAAGTCTGGTAAGCAGGATGAACTCATCAAAATGGAAGGTGTACTCTAATGGGAAAAGTCGTTTTAACGGAGCACAAGCGATGTGTTTTTACGCATCTTTTATTTAAATATATACATTTTTATTTTTTAAATATTTTATTGATATTTAATTCTAAACAAATGTTGTAATTGTGAAAAAAATTAATACTGTACATCAGTAGGAAAATTTAACTGGTAAATTGCAACTTTCTATTGATTTAGAAACTGACAGCATGATTATATTCATACCATGACAACACACTCCTTTGGTCAGTGCCTGAACAGACACCTTGTTTTATAAAACCTTCCTCGTTTGTCACATTTTCAACAATAGTCACAGTGACTATGTCACTATGAGTAAATTGTCTGTGTCAAATCACATCAAAATTGTATGTATGCGAAACCCTTGAAGGCATTTGCTCAGAACAGAACTGTTTCAAGTATTTTCCACACTGATGACTGATGTACTGTGTATTCAACATGTACCTGAAAATCCTTCAGACAACAAGCATTATCTAATCCAAAATTTTCATACGAGTCACAATTTAGGAACAGTTAACTATTTTTTAGACTTTCGAGTAAGGTCGTAAGGATTAGGGTTTAGTTTAGATTAGGGAAAGGATTAAGATTAGGGTTAGGATTAGAGTTAGGATTAAGATTAGGATTAGACTTAGGGTAGGGTTAAGTTTAAAATACAAAAGATACAAAATTACAAAAGTCTAAAAATAGTAACTCTTCCGAAAACGTGACAGGTATATTTGAGCACTCTCAAACATAATCGCATGGGTTATGAACTTATGCTTATATAATGACAACATTTTAGAATGATCTCAAAGTAATTTTGGCTACACATACAAGATTACAGTGCTATTATAAATTTCAAATATTGTACCTCTGCAAATTCCATTAATTCCCTTGCTTTAAAAGTAAAAAGCAAACCTCTGGTTTAAAGTGATAATTTGTTGATTGAATCATCAATGTGAATAAATTTGAACTATGCAGGGTGTATACAAAAACTGGACAGATTTGAAATTGCTCTCAATTTCGCAAAACAGCTAAATAGGACACATAAAAATAGGACACATTTTTTTATGTGGTCTTAGTATCCAGTTTTTGATATATATTATAGTTTCTTTGGGTACTTATAATGCAGAATTATAATATAATGAAAAAAAATTCTCAAACTCAAATTTTGAAAACCGGGGGCAGGGGTGTGTGTTTTTTTCCAACAAACTAAAAATGGCTTGTGCACAAGATTTTATTTAAAAGCTTTAATCGTATTTTGAGTTAAAAATTGGGTGAAAAATGTGTTGGGTGTTTAATTGCTGTACAAAATTTCAGAAAATTTGCTTCAGTTTAAGCCCTTTAACTATTCACACAAACTTACATTTTTTCCTAAAAAATCAGCCTCTTGCATGCTTAATTAATTAATTAATTAATGCGTTTGCCTAATTTGCTTATGTCAGCAATATGCAAATTTAGGTAAAGGCATTATAATATTAAGCATGCGAAAGGCTGATTTTTTAGGAAAAAATGAATAGTTTAAACTAAAGCTTAAACTAAAGTAAATGGTCTGAAATTTTGTACAGTAATTAAAAACCCAACAAATTTTTCATCCATCAATTCAAAATACGATTAAAGCTTTTAAATTTCACGCGCAAGCCATTTTTAGTTTGTTGGAAAAACACCCCCCACCCCTGGTTTACAAAATTTGAGTTTGAGAATTTTTTTTCATAATTATTCTACATTATAAGTACAGTGAGGGCCGTAGCTAGAACGATAATTGGGGTGTGTATATTCATATATTCGTGTTCTGCCCGACAGATTTCTTTTGAAATCGATTGTTTTTTACGGTATGTAAACATGAATATATGAATATACCCCCATTATCGTGTCTTAAGCTACGGCCCTGTATAAGTACCCAAAGAAACTATATATATATATATCAAAAACCAGATACTAATAGCTGTTTTGCGAAATTGAGAGCAACTTCAAATCTGTTCAGATCAGTAGTTTTTTTTAAATACACCCTGTACAGGCTTTCTGGCATCCTTGTGTAGAAAAGTAGGAGAAAAGTAGGACTAGAATTTTAGGAAAAGTAGGAATAAAGTAGGAAAATGTGTAGAAAAGTAGGAGAAAAGTAGGAGTTTTGGAGATGCAAATAACACAAAAATATACAAAATTGGCCACCTAGGATATATGTGTTAAGGGGTAGACCATTAGATATCTGATGGGGAAGTTGTGTGAATTTTTGGTGCTCAATATTTTTATGTACTCATTCATCTATGCAGGATTTTTTTCTCAAAACTTTTAAATTGTATAGGTATAAAAGCTAAGGCATCTGCTCTGCAGCAACACAATTTAAATGCATGCATTGGGCTACACAATGCACCAATCCACACTGCGACAGGAGCATGTATCAGGGCTGTAGGAAGCTCTTTTCGATTGGGGGGGGGGGGGGGAGTCTTCATTAATTTATTGATTAATTATGATTCTAGAGATGCTATGAAATTTTATACTCGGAAAATGTACTTCTTCTCCTGAGATCTTATGATCTGGGACACAAATAGGAAATAAAAATTACGAGTCCTATAGATCAAATTACGAGAGCTATAACATACCGATTCCCCAAGCTGTCTTAAAAAAGTAGGATTTTATGAGAAAAAGTAGGAAAAAGTAGGAAAATCAAGCAATTTTTAATAAAAAATAGGAAAAGTAGGAAAGTTGAAGAAAAGTAGGAAAAACCTGTATATTAGACAAAGTTTAATTTAAATTTTCTGATTGGATTTCCATCTTATTTGAGGTTAGGGTGAAATCTATAATGGCAATAAACCTTAAAGACCATGTCAAGTCCGTAATGTAAACAAATCCTTTGTTTACATTTTGAACTGCTATAGTTGTAAAATAAGTCATACTAACTGAATATTTAACACTTTTCTGGTTCGCTATATTGTAAATGAATATAAACTAGAGTACGTTTCAATTCAAAAAAGTTCAAAAGATGCAAAATTTGGGCAATGTTTATATCTGTGGGTCCCCCTTTGTTATGAGCAGAACTGATGAGCAGAACTGATGCGCAGAACAGACTTGACATGGTCCTTAAAAATCATGAAACCCTTCAGGGCCAGATTAAAAATCATGAAACCCTTCAGGGCTGTGGCATATTATTGGAGCAGGGCCCCTTGACCCCCCAACTGCATTTTAGACCCTGATTTCAGTAAGATTAAAATATATCCTTTTGTATTTCATGCATTGAAAAATTTCCTGTGTATTTACAAAAAAAGAAAGAATTATACATCAATAATGGACCATTTGCATTATAGACTAAATTTTGATCTAAACAAGTCTAGACAAAAATTTCATCACAGCTTGAAAGAGCATCACAAAATTAGTAATATTCCAATGTTTCGTTGCGAAATGTTGTAAAATGTGGATAATATATTATATAGATAATATATAGCCTTGCGAAGTTTGCCGTTTTTCAGTCATTTTACATTACAAAGTAACGGGAAATTGACAGCCCCAAAGGGTATTGGGCTGTCAATTTCCCCCGCGTAATGCAAAATGACCGAAAACGGCAAACTTCGCAAGGCTATATTATCCGCATTTTACAACATTTCGCAACGAAACTTTGGAATATCACTAATTTTGTGATGCTCTTTCAAGCTGTGATGAAATTTTTGTCTATTAGACTTGTTTAGATCAAAATTTAGTCTATAATGCAAATGGTCCATTTGATCGAACTGAAATTCAACCCAATTTATACCATTATTAACATTATTATTATTTAAAAGGGGAAAAATAACTAAACATGATAGTGTCCATATAAACCTCTGCTGCCTTCCACAAAATTCAGCAATCTTTTAGTATTTAACAGTTTACTGCAAATTTTGAAATTTTCTGAACCCTATATGATTTTTTTGCCTCACGATCGCTTTTTGGAGCCCCTCGCCCAAAGAAGGAACAAAAAATTTTGTTTGCGGCCCTGCTTTCGGAACCTCGCTTTTTAAACTTTGGGGCCTCACGTTTTTTTTATTTTGGGGTTTGCTTTTGGAGGCATTGGACTCTTTGGGGCCCCGCGCTGTTTGGACCCCGCGCTAAAACAGGGAACGAACTCTGCATTTTGGGGCCTGGATTCTTAAATCAGTTGGGGCCTATGATGTTTTCTGGGGACCTTGGGTTCTTTGGGGCCCTGCGCTGAAATACTGAAACAGGGAACAAAAAAAAACATTTGGGGCCCCGCTTTTTTGGGGCCTAGCATTTTCTGGGGGACTTGGGCTCTTTGGGGCCCCGCACTGGCGCACTATTTGGGCCCCGCGCTGAAACAGGGAACAAAAAAATCTGAAAAAAATAAAAGAGAGTAAGCGCAGGGCCCACAAAAGCGTGGGGTACGTGGCATATATGCCGCTTCTGCCATATGGTAAATCCGGCACTGAAACCCTTATTCCAGGTATTTCAGGGGTTTGTGAGTGGGAGGGATAACAGGTTTTTGAACAGATAAGCATCACATCACACCACAGGTGTGACAGACCTCTAGGGGGTCCTGTGGGAGATATATTCTCCCTCAGAAATTCTAGTATCAGTACAGATGTCAACAATACCTGACAAGTTTTTCGACTTACTGTAAATGATTCCGTCTTATAATGTGAATTTAGATATTGGTGGATATTTTAAAAAACTTGTCATGTTGTGTCAATTGTGTTGTGATTGGCAGTTTGTTAATTGATTGTTGTTGCATGATAATGTGATGGGTGGGTATGCATGTCACTCGTCTGATTTTATACAAGTATTAATATGACCACTTGAAAACCTCACCATGTTGCTTTGTGTGCATGTTTTGTTATATTGATTGTTTTTATGTGGTTGTTGCACTTGTCGCTATTATTAAATACCACTGAAACCAGGGTAGGTATTCTCTGTGCTACTTTCAGTCAGAGTCATCAACAATATGATAGGTTTCCTGCTCAAGGAAATTGCTCAATATTGTATCACAATGCGCTTAACTATACTTTGCACGGTTTCAATTCAGTTCAATCAATTGTGGAATTCAATTCATGCACAAGCTCACTGGACAGTGTTTAATTTAACACAAATATTTCATTCAATTCACATAGTGATATAAAAGTTATTACCTTTACTTCAGTTTTTAATCTAATCGACTCTTCTTCCAGTTAAACTCAAGTGCTTCAAAGCGACGTAAACTGTAGAAACCGGTCAGCTAGAACCTTGACAAAATATTCGAACATTTGACTAAAATAAAATTTGAAACAATTCAGTACTAACAAAATTTTCTTAAATCCGTGTTAAAGTTTTTAAAAATGATTTGTCAGCATATAAACGTCTAAATATATTGATGTAATATTATAAATAAACCTTATAATTTCATCATCAAAACATTAAATGATGAAATCCTTTGAATACTCCGCCATTCTCGCCATGGTCAGCGCTTGTTTCCATCACTGAGGTTTCCATCTACCAAACTGACGTGAGTCACGTGACGTCATTTTCGGAAGATGGAAGAAGTGTTTTTTCGTTTTTTCTATGTAAACTAATCCAAACCCTTCCCCTACTCTAAACCCCTAACCCCAACGTTAACCCTAACCCTAACCCTATAACCCTAACCCTAACCAAAATAATAAAATAAATCCAAAAAGAATCAACTTTAGAAATTGATCAAATTAATGACATTAATGATGTAACGTCAGTTTGATGGTTGGAAAAGAGTGAAAACCATAGTGAAAACCGTGACGTGACGTGACGTCATTTTCGGTTAAATGGCTATATGTGACTTACTCAAACCCTACCCCTACTCTAACCCCAACCCTAACCAAATTAATAAAAAAAATCCAAACAGATGAACTTTAGAAATTGAGCAAATGACGTAACGTTAGTTTCATGATTGGAAACGAGTGAAAACCCACGTGCACGCACTGCCTTACCATCGAGATTATAAATAGCACTAGAGCAGGAATCGAGGGTGAAATATGGGAGCGCGGTAATTGGGGGCAAATTGAAATCCCGGATAAACACCACACAATTTTTGAGTTACACTTGAAACCAGAAAAATTTAAAACAAGAGTCACAAAACTGGGTGTTTTATATGTTTTACATGTCATCACTACAAACATTCCCCCAAAATTTTGAATTCAAACGAGTCTTGAAAAGATCAAAATTGCTGACATCAGCATTGAGCGCTCTCAAAAATGTGTTACAGACAAAATTGAGGTAAAAATGCTTGGTAAAAATCAAAACGGGACTACTTAATTTTAGCATTTTAATTTGTTGTCCCCCAATAGCCGAGTTCCCTTTTTTTACTGAATTAAGATACGATGCCCCTTCTAGTGTTATTTATAATCTCTATGCTGCCCACGTCGTTCGATTCGCTCTACTTCGCGTTAGACTTTGCGCATGCTCAGCGTCCGGATAGCTTGCCAGGGTGCCAGGGTGCTAGATTGCTGAATAAATAAGCCAAACATTGTTATAAACGGCCCTTTGATGTCTTTGTTTCGAACAAAGAAAACAAAAGGGATATGATATTAAATATTTGGCTTGTTTTAATAATATTCAGCAATCTGGCAACCCTGCTTCGTTGGCATCCGCGACGTGTAGCGCTTCCTATGTTTTGGAATGGCAGTCTCTTACTTGGCAAAGGCTGCCTTGCAATTGCAGTCATTTCTGGCCTAACAGCCTTCTTTCCCATCCAAGCTCCCTGACTACAAAGCGGGCGTTTTTGGGGGTTTTTGATTTATTTCAGCCACCACCCAGGTATGCCATGGGCGTATGGGCCTAATCTTGTTTCGGGGGGGGGGGGCACAGTATTAGTTTGCCCGACCGCTTTGCTTACACAGTACACATACACAGCTTTGTTCGATATTTTATCAGGGCCTTTTTTAAGGATTTCCCCGGGGGGAGGGCATTTTTTAAAAAGGGACCTTTCTGTGAGATAATATATTAGTGGAAGATAACCATGTGGCTGACATACCACGCGTGAACTCCTAGGGGAGTCTGAGGGCATACTTCCCCAGAAAAGTTTTGAAATTTGAAGCCCGGAAATGCAATTTCCTGCATTTTGAGCATCCAAATTTGCTCTAAAATTTATGCTAACTGTACTTGTATTTGAAATAAAAGAAGGAACAAACGCACAAAAAGTAAAAAAATATTAACCATATACAATTTATCATTACTTATTAGAGGTGGGATGGCAATGGCCGAAGGCCACGTGTGTGCGGGCATACTCCCCCAGAAAATTTTTGAAATTTGAAGCCCAGAAATGCCATTTCCTGCATTCTGAGCATCCGAATTTGCTCTAAAATTTATGCTAATTGCTAACTATACTTGTATTTGAAATAAAAGAAAGAAAAAACGCTCAAATAATAAATAAATTATTAACAATAATTTATCATTACTTAGTCTTAGTGGTAAAAAAGATAACAATTTAAATCGATTTTGTTACACAAGAACAAAACATAAAGCCTAAACCTTACTTTCCAAACATTTATTTGTCATTCTTTGCTGTTTGTTTGTATAAATTTAGGAAAAAGGGCCTTTTCCTGGAGGGGGGGGAGCAAATGTGATTTTGTGGGGGTGCCCACAAGGTGGGTGGGAGGTCGACTAGGGGGCATTCCCCCCTCAGCTTGTGAGTTAAAAAAGTTAAAAAGGCCCTGGATTTTGTATGTGCTTCTATAAACAAATCAGTATGTTTGTGTAAAGACTGCTTTAGCAGAAGTTTAACCGAAATGTTTAAAAACACTAAGACAGGACCGTAGCTAACATGTAGGCCAAAAATTTCCGAATGACGAAAAAAATTCCGAATATTTCATGGCATACGAAGCCACGAAGGTGTTTGCTATCCGGAAAATGAAGACGCAATTTACAAACAAAAATACACATATTTTACGCACAGACATATTACAGAAGCATGCAGTGCCGTAGGAAGCACTTGTTGATTGGGGGGCTGAAAACGAGGGCCGAAGGCCGCGAGGAAATTTTTAAATATAGAGTCTCTGAAATGCCATTTCCTGGACTTTGGGGAAGTTTTGACAAATTGTGATGGTCAGAAAACAGCGTTTTAGTCATTTGAAATTTACAATTTGCTTACAATTTAGTAGTACTAAATGGGCGAAAGCATATTTAAATTTAATGAACTATATATTGGAGAAGTTGCAGGAAAGTATGGGTAATATGATTCTTTGCAGTTTGTCTTGGATAATGTAGCCGCTTAAAATTAATCAATTGTCAGTATTTTAAAGGTATATTATTTAAACGATAAAGGTCTGCATGATTTTGAAAAAAGAATGATTATTAGCAAATTATTGGGAGAGCTGCATTCCCCCCCCCCCCCCCCCCCCCCCCCCCCCCAATACCCCCCTCGCTACGGCCCTGCACTGAGACAGACACTAAGAACAATGCTCAATGTTTCTGCAATCTTCATAATCTTTGCCATAAGCCATCATCATTCATATACAGGTGTTCTTCATATATGGCAAAGTATATCAAAAGCAATTAATATTTTCAACGGCATAACATCTAAGTTGAATGTTTATGCCGTACGTATTCAACGGCGTAAACATCTAAGTTGAATGTTTATGCGGAATATAAGTTGAATGGTTATGCCGAAGACAGTCAACGGCCAGAGTTGGTAGGTTTGCTGAATAATCAGTTAGGCGAAACAACGTCACACTAGGCATTTGTTTTCTTTGTCTTGGCCTTTTGTTTTCTTTGTTTTCTAAACGGCACTATGTCGTTGACTGTCTTCGGCATAATCGTTCAACTTGGATGGTTGTGCCGTTGACTGTCTGCGGCCGGGCATAACCACTCAACTTGGATGGTTATATGCCGTTGATTGTCTTCGGCATAACCATTCAAACATATTCAACAGCATAAACATCTAAGTTGAATGTTCATGCAGAACATATTCAACTGCATAAACATCTAAGTTGAATGGTTATGTCGTTGACTGTCTTTGGCATAACCATTCAACTTGGGCGGTTATGCCGTTGACTGTCTTCGGCATAACCATTGGATGGTTATGGCGTTGACTGTCTTCGGCATAACCATTCAAACATATTCAACGGCATAAACATCTAAGTTGAATGGTTATGCCGTTGACTGTCTTCAGCATAACCATTCAACTAGCTTGGATGGTTAAGCCGTCGACTGTCTTCGGCAACCATTGGATGGTTATGCCGTTGACTGTCTTCGGCATAACCATTCAAACATATTCAACGGCATAAACATCTAAGTTGCTAAGTTGAATGTTTATGCCGAACATATTCAACGGATCGATCAAATTAAATTGTAATAAATGCTTATATATATCACTATATATATTATAACTTATAAGCGTTTATCACTAAAAAATTTGAATTTCAAGGAATATTTTTATGTATAACCATCCAATGTTGAATGGCATAACATTCCAAATTTGAATGGTACGTTGGCGTTATTATGTTTAATTATTCATTGTAGACGCGGTTTTTCTTATCAACTTTGATGAGAATGTTTTGCCCGAATGACACATGGATTTCTGCTCATTTGCCCGACCGTAAACATTTTTTTTTGGGGGGGGGCACATGTGCCCGCCCATGCCCGCCTCGGCCCATACGCCTATGAGGTATGCCTTGCCAGGTGTGGGGATTCGTCGACCAATAGAGGAGGAACCGTCGCATAACTCGCATTTGCGATGCGATGTAATATTTCCACTCGTCGCAGCCACCATTCTGAGTCGTTAGGTCTCTACTCTAGAGTCGTGTTTACAATACCAGTCTTAAGTCGTGTTTACAGGTAAATGTGGCGCGTTTATACCATTACACTGTTTTTTCGAGACTGGCTCATTTTGGCGGTTTGGCCTAGAATTTTGACATTTTTGTAATTGATTTTGTGTATTTTTATGTGTTGTGACGTTGTCCACTGGTTGGCCGCTAATCTCTCACTGTGAGCACACGTTGCCATGAAAATAAGGCCCTGGCCAGGGCCGAAAGTGTTTACATTTCCACAAGCTTATGCCTAGGCCAGGTCTAGGCCACCGGTTGTAGTGAGCCCAGATTTCCTGGCCTAGATGTAGTCCAAGGCCAGGTCAAGACTGGTAGTGTAAACACGACTTTGGCATGGCCTTGGCCTATATTATGTGTAAACAGACCTTGGCCTGACCTATAGGCCAGTAAATCTGGGCTCACCACAACCGGTGGCCTAGGCCTAGGCTTGTGAAAATGTAAACACTTTAATTCGGCCCTGGCCTGGGCCTTATTTTCATGGCAACGTGCGGACAACGTCACAACACATAAAAATACACAAAATTAATTACAAAATTCTAGGCCAATGTGAGCCAGTCTCAAAAAAACAGTGTAATAGTGAAAACGCGCCACATTTACCTTGGTCTGGCCAAGGCTAGGCCAAGGCTTGTAGTGTAAACACGACTTAGTAGGCAAGCTAAGGATACTAGTACGTTGGAGAGCCTAGTTCTGTAAGTCGAGCGAGCGAGCGAGAGCGGAGATTGAGCATTTCAATACGCTGTCCAAGTTTGGATTTCACAACCGTACCGGAGAGTACTGAATACACAAGCTTGATACAGTAGTCATATAGAATACAGTTGATAGACGCGTAACATAACCCGTGAGTGTCATTCCTCCCATAGTCAATAGAATAAGGTTAGGAAACTCAATGCAGAAATAATAGACCTCATTTATCTATGTTTTTGTCTTGATTTATGCAACAAATGGTCGATTCATCGTCTCGTGTGTATTGTATTTTCGCTAGAGCAACCAATAGTTATGTTTTCATTATTTAACCATGCACTCTGTAATATCACGAGGTATAATTAAACCAACACACTGCTATAGTGCTATTGGTTGCAAGTTGGGCGAAAAACGATGCACACGTGACGACGAACCGACCATTTTTTTGCATAAACCAAGACAAAAACATAGAAAATGAGGTCTAATATTTTCTAACCTTCTTATTATATTCACTATATGTCCCTCATTTTAATGTTCGTTGTATATATTCACTAACCCTCCCAAATTTAATGTACATTGAGAAAACAATTTTCGTCACTCCCTCTCCCCCAGTTCAATGTTGTAATCGCGAAACAACTTTAATTTACCATGACACAAGCTCAACAATGAGTTGTGGGAGTGTGGGCGTAAGAACACCAACAAGATTTTACAAAGGCCCTGTTACACGGTGCAATTTTTCATGCAACTTGTCTCGCAATGGCGTTGCGAGACAAGTTGCACGAGTCATTGCACCGTTTAACATGCCTTGCAATGGTCAAAATCGTTGCGAGACAAGTTGCATGAAGCATTGCACAGAGTAGAAGTCGGTTCTACTTTGGGCAATGATTGCACTAATTATTTTTAGCATTGCAGCGTGTAACATGGCTTCGTGCAACTTGTCTCGCAATATTTATAGCTTGGAGAGTTCCTATTGGCTCTCCCCAGTATACGCTTTACTTTAATTAAAATTTGGCGCCAAATAGCGCCTCTCCCTAGTCTCTTCGCATGCCTCCGTCCCCTATCGTTGCGAGTTGCATGAAAATCATTGCAGCGTGTAACACCTCTTGCAATGCATTATCAAAATCTTTTTTTAAACATTGCGAGACAAGTTGCAAGAAAAATTGCACCGTGTAACAGGGCCTTAATGTTTAAAAAAAGATTTTGATAATGCATTCCCAACCATGCAGTTATGCCCAAGATTGTAGTTGTTCCACACTCGTGACTTGTAGGGTTTTCATTAAAATATAGAGTATAGGTGGCTGTGTGAGAAAAGTAGACTGTTGTGTATACTGTAGAAAGGTGGTGCAGAAGGTGGGGGTATGCTTGCCCTCTGCAATTCCAGCTGCAATTAGGGAGATTATTTTGGAGAATAGTGCAGTATACTCTGTAGTACTGTCAATTAAAAATTCTAAATTTCGGGTGTCTTGTTAGATGAAACAAAACGCTAAGCAAAATTTTCACCTGCATAAATTCTGCCAAGGGCATGCCAAAAAATAAGAATTGGTCATCCGTCGCATCCCATTGAATAACCGAATATCATCTCTTGTGTAAATTTTCCAAAGTCCATTAAAAGATGTGTGCAAAGAAGCCTATAATTGGATGCTGTACCCTCTCAGTGTGGTGGAATGGGTTGTATATTCAGGGAAAGGCAGGGAGATTTGTGTTTGATTTCGCAATAAAACGTTGTAAGAGGTCAGTTGCAAAAGCTATTTTAAAACTTAAAGTGTTCACTTTCGGAACATGTAATATTGCTAGTTGAACTATAGACCCATTGCACTGACGTCACAAATCCTTAGAGTGTCCTCCAGATGCTTCCTAACAATATTTGCTCGGGTACAACAACCACACACATAGGCGTACCGGGCGGGGGGGTGGCGGCAGCCCCCCCAGTTTTTTGGGCAGTCGGGCAATATTCGATCAACAGTCGGGCAATTTTGGTTTGCAATAAAAAAAAATGGGACAAATTCTGTCAATTTTGTCTAAAATTAAGTCAATTTTTTGGCAAATTTTGGGATTTTTCGAAAATTTGTGTTATGTTCCGAAAAATATTGGTTGTCCGGAAAATTTTTTTGACCCCTAAAATGGTACACTGACCGAAATTTTTTTTGGCGACGGGGGGGGGAGGGGGGGCGGGGGGGTGTTCGCCAAAATAATTTTTCCGGAAAAAATTTTTTGGTACTAGTCGGGCAGAATCCCGAAAAGTCGGGCAATTTTGTTTCCGCCCCCCTAATTTTTTCCTTCCGGTACGCCCATGACCACACACAGCGCAAAAATTAACCATTTTAATACAAAATTATTATAAAGTTTTACAAAATTTGCTTCGTTTACAGAAGTTATATTATGCATAGATTGCTAATTTGTCCTCCAGATGCATCGTCACCGGCGCTGTGACGTCATGTGCAATGGGTCTATACGCCTAGTGACACGATTACTTGATTTTACACTATGTTACACATGGTATGAAATAAATGACGACAGAAGTAAACTTAAAACTTTTATTTATAAAATTGTTTACATGCAGTAAAATAAAGATACAAAAACTGAAAGCAAAATACAATTTATTAACACAGCATGGCATATTTAAAGTATTGCACAAGCAAAAACAAAATACAGTATGCAGGAACAAGGCAGGTCTAAAACAGAGAAATATAAATACGTATAAGAACTAGTCAAAACTCGGTAAATATTGTGTGTTTTATAATAAACTGGGTATTAAATAATGACGCACAAAATTCTACTAAACTGTAAAACAACTGTATACTTGGACCAAGATCCAAAAACTTTGCGGAAGATAATTTATAACATGCAATTTAGTGAAGCCCAAGGAAAGTGAAAAATCCATAAAACTGTCTTAGTTGACTGTCTTAGCTATTATATCCCCTGACCAAGCATCTTCGCTTGAAACGTCTAGGTGTGTTCAATCAGACAAGTACCTGACAAGTATCAAAATCCATGGATTCTCGACCCACAAGTAGTAAAGTGTTTCCTATATTCCGGCTGATTGCCTGCATCAGAGGACTTTAGTTACCCACATAGTTGTAAAAGACGGGCAGATGATTGTTTCACCTCAATTTGCAGTACCAATAATATTTATAATATAGCATTTGTAAATTCTGAACGCTGATTGGCTAAGAGCCGTGTTGATATAACTCAATGTCAACACGGAAACATAGGAAAATTTCTTTCTTTATATTTCTTTGTGCTATATTATAAAACAAATATAAAACATTTTCCGTGTTGATATACAGTTATATCAACACTCGTGGAAATTGGGAGAACTCGAATTTCTCGTTTTCCCAATCCCCACTCGTGTTGATATAACTGTATACCAACACGGAAAATTTTTATATTTGTTAAATACATGCCAAAATAAACGTGTTCTTGGTTGAACCGTGGGTTGATAAATGAGCATGCATAATGAATCATCATTGAAAGCACTTCGTCTTCGCAATCTGTACTTTACGTACCTCACGTTCGTATATTTATACGTACTTTACTTTGGTTTATTTTTCTTCCGGGGATTTTGATCTTGAACGGGAACCTGAGCGACTCCTAGAAATAATGCAGTTCGCAAAATTCAAAGCTGTAGTAAACCTTTGGACACCGGAACAAGCAGGCAGGAAAAAGCAGGCAGGAAAGAGCAGGGGTGCTCTTCATTTTAGACCAACATTTGAAAAGTCATTGTTATATACAGTACGTCTACAACCAAGGTTCCGATTGTGTTGGAAATTGGAATTAATGGTAGAAGATTTTTTAAGTCGGCGTGGTCAAGGTTTTCTTTTCACCTGCATGTATCACCTTCACTAGAAATAACCTAAACAGTTCTTCTGACTTAAAAATCCTTTTGAAAGAGGAGGGAATAGTTGCATACCGGTAGTGGCCTTATGTATTAGCCAATCTGTCTACGAATAGTTATAGTCCCTATTTAGCCTATGAATAGATTCTAAATGCCTGGACAGCCTGGTCGTTCCGGCAGCAATGTAGACTGAATGCCGTTGTCACAGTGTTTTGTGTATCCCTTGTGCATCCCGAGTGATACGAGTATGGAGATACACGAGGATACACATATCTGTGACACAAACCGTACTTGCTATACCACGCGTGACAAAATATGCAAAACCATTGCAAGTTGGATCGTGTAACTATATAGTCTGTGATTTACCAACATTAATCCATGAAGAAGCAATGTGTTACACAATTCCTGCAGAATTCAGGGTGTTCTATCCACTGATTAAATCAGTGGTTCTATCCCACAGGAAAATAGATCTCATGAAAACATGAGTATTCAAACCTTCTACCATTCGATCTCGATGAAGAACTTCGTGATGATGAACTCCGCGATGATCTCGAACTAGAACTGGACGATGAACTACGACGACGAACATTTCGGTCATCTAATGCAGGAGAGCGAGAACGCGATCTTTAAAGAGGAAAATCACTGTTAGAGAAGACGCGGATTAAGTCAGCCGTAAGGAAGTGAGGCTGGACAGTATCTGAACAACTGTGAAACAAAGCTGCAACAATAATTTTACAATCATGAAAGTATTTGGGAGGCTATAAACTACAGTAATCATATTTCCATGAAATTTAAAACAAGAACTGAGATTTTCCACAACAGTAAGGGTAGTAAATGAGTGGTAAGATGGTGGCAAAATAAATCCCCTCCTATTAATGTACGAGTCAAATCCAACCGCGATCAACCTTGCAACCCCCGGGGAATTTGACTTTTGAAAAAGTAATTGGTATTTCAAGATTAAAAAGAACGAAAAGTAGGTCAGTCAGTTCTTCTTTTTGTTCAACCGGGCATATTGTATCATATATCTATGATTGATATTTGTGATTTACTCATTCAGAAGCAATTTTTAAACTATAGAAAAGACGTAAAATAAAAAACTCCTGAAGCGCTAGAATGTACACATATTTTTAGGGAAAACCGCTGAGCAAGTTGTTGTCAAGTGGTCAAATGCCCGGGCCGTCAAATTCCCGCCTATACGGAGGTAACGTTAAGTCAAATGCCCTGGGGTTTCCGGGCTGATCGCGGTTGGATTTGACTCATACATAACTCCGAGATATGTCCGCAGATCGATGTCCGAAGTAGAATTAATAACCTCTGCGGAGAGGTTACTCCCGCCAAAAACAATTTGGCGAACTGTCCGCCACTGGGATACAATTACTGAAAAGTATACTTTTCAAGCGAATGCTCTTATTCTGAAAGTTAATGGCGACTAATCGCTTGACGTCTGGACAGTACCTTTTAGAACCGCCATCATTTGCATTCAACCTTAAAATAAAGCAGTAACGTTAAGGTACAGTATTTACATTTAAACTACAATGATATTTTACTTCTCGACGAGGACGTTCACTTATATTTTCAATGTTTGGCCTTTATGCCAATTCCAAATTTTTGCTACTGTAGGTAGTTTTGGCAAAGGAGAATGATAGTTGATCCCGGGCCAACATGCGGGACTTGTCCCCACCCACCCAGTGACGCATACACGAAATTTTTAACTCGTTATACATTTGGTATGGATTTTACTGCCAGAAAGAAAAACAGATTATCCAGGAAATCGCCGATGCCGAAATCGGTGAGTTCAGCGTTGTTCCATTACTCCAAAGATTTCCTCTTTCACCGTGTCACATACTGTAGCACAATGAAACATATGAAATTGTCCTCTGAAACTGTCCTCGGTAACATAAGCCGAAATGACCATTCCATGAGAAGTCGAGGTTTTCATAGAAAAAAAAAACATTTGGTTTTGTCCCACCTGAACCCCACAGGGGTGTCAGGTCATATGATTACCCTCCCTGGTCCCGTGAGTCTTCATTTGTCTTGGCTGCAGTTTCATCTTCGTCCTAAAACAGAAATAAACTTAGTTCACCAGATGTTATTTGGTGGCAGATGTGTGGGAGGCACAGTGCTTATAACACATGCCTTTCACTTTTGCGACGAGCATTCGAGTCCTAAAATATGCAATGGGTGATTGCAGCTATAGACTAAATTTTGATCAAGGCAAGAAAAACAAAATCCAACACCACAGCTAGAAAGAGCGTCTTAGAATGAGTAAAATTGCAAAGATTGGTTGCTTAATGGTGTAAAATGAAGAAAATATAGTCCTGTGAAGTTCGCATATTTTGTATATATTTGTAAAAATAACACTTTCGCCTCAAAAATGGTTATTTTTCACGCGCGTAATACAAATATATACAAAATTTGCGAACTTCACAGGGCTATATTTTCCTCATTTTACAACAATTCGCAACCAAGAGATGAAAGATGCTCTTTCCAACTATGGTAATGGCTTTCGTTCTTCTTATCTAGATCATGAACAAACATGAAAATTTCGATGTCAGTTCAATATTTTGTGGCCATTTTGGTATGATTATTTTAAGTCGTGGTTTGAATCGTTTTAATTAATAAACGTTTACATTTGAATAGTCACGATAAAGCAAGTTCAAAATCATTGATAACCTTTTCACAGTCCGTGTTTAAACATAATTGCATATTTCTTACTTACATTTATACTTTCATATTTCAATTCATTTTAACAAATTGGTAGTGACATTTGTTTTTTTGACAGGATGACACAATTCAAATGGATCCTATAGTTTCGACGGAAAAAGATTGAACGCGAAGAAAAACGTCAATCTTAATTTCATATTTGCAAGTACGGCAAACGTGAAACCGCGTTTATTAGTTTTGATAGTGTTGCACAGTTTTATATTGTAATATTGTGGTAAATTATTGCAAATCAGCTATATGTATTACTGAATAAGTGTATAATTTCCTCCTGACCTATATTTTACAATGTTTATTAATATTTAGTCTTAGGTTGAAGGGAAATAAAAATGTAGTTCTGTACGAGAAAATTTTGTGATTTCCATCAGCGAAATATAAATACACACGGACAATAATACGTATAATGGAAACTCAATACAACCGATTTCTGGACGCATATTCGCACAAAAATTGTTCATTTATACCATAACCAAGCTCACCATAAAATGAACTATGATTTCCATAATATGGATATGATTATCTATCCCCATGCTCTCTCTTCACAAATTTAAAGAAACTTACATCATCATCCAATTCATATTTTGAGAGATCAACATCACTTTCATCGTCATCTTCATCTTCCTCCTCTGCTGGTGCTTCAACATTTCTTTGTCGGAGATCTTCTTCAATACTTAATCGTGGTCTCTGTTCGTTGTTCTACAAAATAGGTACCATATGGGTACAGCACACCGTTCAGAGCCTAATGCATTAATGCCACGTTCGCATTACGAACCAGTTCAATTTTCGTTCACAACGCGTTCTCGAACGAGTCCCGGAAAGCGGACGGAAGATATACAATTTTACAAAATATCGTAATTGAACCTTAAGCAGTAAAATTTAATAGGTTTTCACAATTGAATTGGGAAAAATTAATATGGCACTGTGCCGATTAACTGTTCACCGTAAGCCTAGTGGCGATGTAATGTTTTGGTTTTCCCTGAATGCACGAGTTTACCAAATTTATTTTCCTCGAATTATGCATGCAGTTGAATGGATTTCGTGTATAACCTCAACTGTTTCTTCAAAAAATACCTGTGTAGTGATTTGTCTTGCTCCTTTCTTCTTTTTTCTGCCAAACTATATAAATTATTTAAATTATAAACAATTGTGAGATGCATTGTATAGCTATTCAGACAATTCAAATGTGACAAAAACTGTCAAGCTTATTATGAATGCAATAATTTCTTAATCAAAGTTGTTTCTCAAGCGTAGTTTAGCTACCTGATCATACTCATCGTCAGAGTCCTGTCGTTCAACATATTCCACATTTTCACGTTCATTAAAACCTCCACCAAGTCCTATATATAGACATAAATATAGAGTGGGTACCTACTGTATATTTATAAAATCTATCGATGACATTCATTTGCTAACCACAATCTATCGATGATATCATTGCTAACGACATCTGTCGATGAACTTGTGATTAGTTCTTGGCAACTGACTCTATAACTCACTTGTCACAACGCTGCACCAGAATCGCAGTTCGACTCCTCCCGGAGTGCAAAAATTACAAACTTATATTTCCGCAGCTGCATGCTCCTGGTTAGTTCAAATCAAGCAAAGCTTTCACTCGAAATTATCATTCACAAAGAACTTTTCAACTTCATATAAAATACCTGTTCTTCTTTCCTTATGGCCAACCTTTGGTGCATTGCAAACATTGCATGTTGAGCGTCGAGCCCAATTTATGTTTCCACATCTGTAAAAAAATAACAATGTACTATAAGAGTCCAAGTACAGTATTCAATATTTAAGATTTAATACAGTATTATAAGGTCTTAAATAAAAGCCTCCTTATGGTTTCTAGAAGGCCCTAGCCCACATCTTGTAAATATTTTATTTCCATATTTGTTAATGTAATGTTTTGGACGAATTAGTAAATAAAGAAAATAATAAAACCCAACACAGTATTCAACATATGGTTTACCCATGTCAGATTCGAACAAGGGAGAACACACTTTCAAATCCATATTTAAAAGCATGAGATATTCATATCACTTAAACATTAGTTCTTTTTTATTTATATTTATCTGCTACAAAAATCTCACGTCAAATAGCAAGCTCGCCCAATAGGCTTTATATTATGCAGAACAATTAAGATACAGAAGCAGTAAGAGTGGTATTTAACAATGATGTCCAAATTTAGATTCAAACCATGTAACATTTTGTAAAATCATGTAATAGAATGTAAAATCTTGAAATTTATGGGCCTTAATAAAAGGTTTCTAGTAGGCCCCTATAGCCCACTTCTTGTATATAATATTTTTTTGGCGAATGAATAAATAATAATGTACGTGATCATCATTAATTGCATTCCTTCTTCCAATTCATGTTGCGTGGTTTCTCATCTGTCAGATCTTTATTCACTTCATCCAAAGCACAGTTCGGAAAGGTGTTGTATCCCCCCTCCCCCCATTTTATCAATACCCCCAATGTCCCTCCTTTTTCAAAACTTTCCAACCCTTCTTTAACGACAGCTGTTTCAGAGAGACAAATTTGACAGGTTAACCTTTAACGCTTGCACATAGCACGAAATGCTTCTAACGAAAATTTTTTTGGGCTCTGTAAGATCATCCTGTCTTGATTTTCTGCACTTTGAAAAACGTCTTCCTCAGCAATCTTCATGACAGTATTTTGCTCATCGCCCCCATTTTAAATCAACCCACTCCCTTTTAGTAACCCCTCATTATTAAAAAATTTTTTTATTCTTCCCCTTTTCTGTTTAACATGAGACGGTTACTCCTTCCATCCTTAAAGCGAGAGAGGGGGGTGGAACTATAAATCACGTCGCATTGCGCCATATTTATATATGAGACGTTTTTCACCACAGTCGTCGTCTTGCACGGATAACTCGCGCTCGTGGTGCTTTACATCCCGTTTATTTAATATCTCATTGCAGCTATGGTGTATTTATAAAATCTTGTTCAAACGATGGTTACGATAAATTAAGTAATAGCGGTTGAAGCAATAACATAAAGTAATAATAAACAATTGCGAAGATACGTCTGTAGAGCTCCAAGCTCTGGAACTGTCTAGCTGCCAGAGTCTAGCTGCAAGATCACAACGTGCGACTCACCAAGAATTCGTACTTGCAGAAAGTACTGCGTAAAGGCCGAGACACATGCATCGGACGCGATTCGACAATGCGGCGCCTGACTAGTGCTGTGCAAACTCCGGTTTTTTAGCTCTGGCTCCGGCCGAATTATAGCTCTGAGCTCCGGCTCCAGCCACATCATAAAATATTAAATAAATATTTTACGATCAGAGAACATTTATTAATATTATTATGAATAACCCTTTTCACGCTTCCAGCATCTTTAATATGCAAAATCTGTCTACAAACTCCTATAATTATCAGAGTAACATAACTCAGGAAACAAAACAGTGAAAACACTTAACCACGCAGAAAATATATATATGCAAACCAGCTTCGAAAAATTTTGACAGTGTTTCAATTTTTATATAGCATGACGCGAGGCATGACGCTAACATGCACTCTCGGACTCCACAGCGCAATTGTTCGCACGCAAACGTTGTTTCGTACTTTTTCGTTATCTACAAGGCATGAATACACAGACTATGTAGCGCTAAGTCAGATGCATGGCTTCATGAAAGCTTGACGTTTGTAAGTTGCGATCGTATTACAGCTTTTCGACGCTGTTCCTGTGGCAGTTTGAGTCTATGATGAATTCATTAACAGCAATTGGCAGTTTGCAGTTGCACTTGCCGATTGTGTTTCACGTTAAAGATCTGATCTTCCAACGTGAAACACAATCTGCAAAGTCAGAATTTTTGGTACCCTACGCAGTGGTCAGACTACTAGTCAATACATCAGTCAGCTAGTTATCTTGACGCCAGCGAGGTCTTCTCCAGATGTTTTTTATATATAGAGCCAGAACAGAGATAACGTTCGTTTTCTCACATTGCATCTTTCACAACATCTTCGTTGGTGTTCTTCACTCAAATCCTGGCAAAGGTTTCACTTAATATTGCTTTATATATTATCTTGAAAAACGCAACGTGTTGGCAAAAACCATCACAATAGATCAATATATATATTATATATATACACCGCTTCATCACCTGCTTCACCCACGCTCAATTTTCACAGAAAAAGACCTTTGGTGCAAATTAATCCATAGAGTGGCAGCATGCACTCTCCCCCTAACGAGTAAAATCGTCTGGCATTAGACAGAGTAAAATAACAGGCTTAAAAGAACGACGTCTTATGATTTTTTGGTCGTAACCTTCGCAGACATTGTATTTTATTTCAGTCTAGAAATCAGTAAAACTTCCTGTAAACTTTCATGTTGAACATTATTTATTTACTTTTGAAACCAAGTTGTGCATTGGATATCTTGGATCTGAAGGTAATATTCTTTAGACAAGCCCTGGAGAGGTGGTACATCAAGCGCCCTATGCAGGCTGTGCTAGATCAAACTTGTGCCACGCCAAACACTGCATATCTAAAAACATATGTATGCATGCGCAGTGTTGCGTGCATTTTCATAAAGATGAAAGAACAATTTTCTAGACAAAGTGAATTAAGTTATTTTATGGACTGAATGATTGCTTTTGGTCTTGGGAAGTACAAAAGAAATGTATGCAGAATATATTGGCACTTAGTAAGTGCATGGAAAAAAGTGCCTTGGGTCACACAGGAGGATTCTATAATTTCTTTCCACAAGGATTCTATAATTTCTTTTCGTACAAGCATGTACTTCATTTCTTTCTTGCACAAGCAATTACAATCACCTTATATTATCTGTAACAGTTTGTTATTACTGTACATTGATATTATGTAATATATAAATAGGAACACATGTGATTGCATACAGAGAGTGAAGTGTAAAAAGTTACAAAATCTTGTATTTTTAAATGCAAGAAATTCACAAAAATTCCTCTCAGGAAACACAGCAAATGCTCTTCCAAGACTTCGGAAACGAAAAATGTTTGGCATTAGACATGAGATCGAGTAAAATAAGAAAGTACAGCGCAATGCAACTTAATGAATAATGGTTTAATTAAAGTGCACATGACATGAATTTTTTGGCCTTAATTTTATTGCTTTACTAGAAAGTACCCTTCAAATGATGAAGAATGGTCAGGTTACAGTCAATCAAGAGTTATTACAGTTTTTGTAATTTGAGCTATGACATCATACATTGTGCTAAAGGTTGCAAGAAAAACTGAAAGTGGAATATCTCCAAGAGGATTTGAGCAAATGCACAGTTGTTGAGTGCACAGTTGTTGAGTGCAGTCACACATACATTTTGGTATGTTTGTGTGGTTGTCAAGGCAACGCACTGGTTCCCAGTCTCCGTGCATCAAGTCACATGGTTCCTGCTGTATACTGGCTAAGAAAAGTGCCTGTTTCACAGTTTTTAGTTGACAAGTACTAAAATGTTTCCATAAAGAACATAAGCAATGAAAACAACAGAAATAGCCACTTGTGTTGTTGGAAATATAAAGCTCAATCTCGTTTCCCGACCCTGCGATCCTCAGGAAGGAACGCGAGGCTCTGGGATAATCCGTTGCCGGAAGCCAGGAATCCTGGCTAAGATTGAACTATGCATTCCATTTCAACGGCCAATCAGATTCCTCCCTGAAACGGATTATCCCAGAGCCTCGCATTCCTTCCCGAGGATCGCAGGCTCGGGGAACGAGATTGTATAAAGCTAAGTTTATGCAAGGCAGGGGACTGGAAACTAGGGCGTTGCCTCGACAACCACATAAACATGCCAAAAATGTATGTGTGACTGCACTCAACAACTGTGCAAAGTTTCATTTCATTTGCTTAAATCATCTTAGTTGGAGATATTCCACTTTACGTTTTTCTTGCAACTTTTAGCACAGCTTATGAGGTCATAGCTCAAATTACAAAAACTGTAATAACTCTGGATTGAGATGAGATATGAAAAAACTGTTACCACCATTCTTCATCACTTGAAGGGTACTTCCTAGTAATTAAAGCAGTAAAATTAAGGAAAAAAATTCATGTCATGTGCACTTTAAACATACACATGGGCAGATTAATGATTAATGACTGAGGAAAGAAACTGGTTCAATCAGACTAAAAACAGCAAAATCCAATCAGATCCAATAGAAAAATAAATCATCTGATCATCCAGTCCAATCAAGGGATGTTAAATGTTGCAAGAATGCAATCCACATTGGATTTTGCACATGACTCACAGACTATTATTTTGGATCACTGGATTTGAATTAGCAGAATTACTAAGGCACTCACTTGCCACATTGCCAATCATCAGCACTGAATAAGCCCTTGCTTTTTTCAGCAATATGTTTGCCAATTTCTGCTCCACTTTTCTTTACTTTGTCAACTGCATTTCCTTTCTCTATACCATAAGTAATATAACAAGGAATATTTCAGGACAAGTGTAAGGAGCTGTCTATATGGGGAGAGCTGCCCAGTTTAGATGAGATCTCGCATTCATTACTATTTCTCACCAAATCTCATAAACTGTGACTTCATAAACTGTTGGAGCTACTAAATTTCAGTCACTCTAGACGATTTTTCAGGTAGTTGCATCCCTACCAACGAAAGTTGGTTAATAAATTTCATTTTGCATTTATATGGGAACTGAGCTGGCCCGCCAAAGAAAGATCTGCCTTGATTGACTGACCCAAGGCTGGCTGGCTAAGTGTTAGGCTAAGTGTTAGCCTAAGTGGGCCGAGTGTTAGTGCTCTGTTCTCAACAAATGTCGATCTTAAAAGGTCTCTGTGAACAATTCTGTGGTTATAACTGTGAAAGTTGCTTGCGAAAGTGTAAATTTCAGGTTCATGAGAAATATATTTATATTATTCTATTTATAGCAGTGAGACTAGTGGTTTGTTTTGGCAAGCCAGCCTGCCTCAAAAGTCTCATGTAAACAGGGCTGTGTACTATGATAGTATGATTGTGGAAGAAAATCTTTGTGTCCACAGAGTCACAGACCTGTTTGGTAAAAATCTGATGTTTTTTGTTTCATATTTTATGCTGGCAAGACATAACTGGGTTTAACATGTGTCGCTAGAACAACCACCAGTAACCAGAGTACTAGTTGCAACTCGCAAGACGCTAGTTCGATACTTTTATAAATCTGTTAAAATATCTAGTATTGCCGCGAATATGCATGAATAATAACAATGTCATTATTTTTATTTTATTTTAACCCACTATACGGATTCTTCAGTCAGGAACAGGCACAATCTCAGCTTCAAATTAAATATTCCATGCATGCCCTAAATCATAAATACCTTTGCCGCAACGATTACAGTTTGTTCTTCGCGCGAAATTCAGATTTCCACAACTGTAAAAAACAGAAATATATTTGAATGTGCTTCTACTCATTCCAGAGGTACTGAATAGAAACAAACCTCGCTTCTGAACACGTCCAATCCCCTTCTGAAACTTTCAATCTTTTCGACATTTTGAAATGTGTGTAGTCATTAATAGTCAAATGAGTGTAAACAGCAGTGAATCGGGCATTCGGGCGCAGTGATTCAAAAATTCCTTCCCATGAGCTATCAGATTCCTCATTCCTTTCCTAAAAATTCCCGAAATTCCTTCCATTCCACTCCATTGTCATGTTAACTCATTAACTCACAATCTCACATATAATATTTGTAAGTTTGAGAAGCAATCTGTGGAAGCAACTACATCAGGGGCCGGTTGTACGAAGGCCGGATAGCGCTATCCACCGGATAGTGATTTTTTCAAGCTTTGTTAAATCAGTCGTTGATTGGAATAACTCGTATTGAAGTTTAGTATTTATAAGTTAAATGTTATTTATCCTTCTTGTGTCGTCTATATCCGAGTCTCACAGTTTTTCAAGCATTTTACGAAGGTTGAAAAGATCACTATCCGGTGGATAGCGCCATCCGACCTTCGTACAACCGGCCCCAGGACTCTAAAATTGTGCAATTTACTAAAACCGTATCCAAATTCTTAAAACCATTGGGCCAATGCAGCCAATATCTGATTTATCATTTTGGGAAATAGAGACCGGTTGTACAAAGGCTATACAGCGCTAAATACTGGCTACATTGGCTACAGTTAGTTACAGTAGGTCAGATATCAAGTAGATAAAAATTGTAGATAAATATATTGCGTTCTTGAACAGCTTCGAAACTATGCAAAATTCCTGTTTCGAAGGATAAATTAAAAAGTGGCCTATCATGTTATTCGGAATTCGCCAATGGTATTCGCTCGTTGTTTATAGTAAGTTATACTGTATAAAAGTTCCACCACAACTCTCAAAGTCCATATTATTTTAAACAATAATCTCTTTTAAATATTTAGTTTCTACACAGTAGAGTATTCACTTTCGAAAGCATTTTCCTGTGCATATGTGGGCCAAAATTTACGGGCTGTGACGGCTGAATACGAAGAAGTACGAAGTGAATATAAAAGAAGTCAATATGGCGACCGACAGTGCATCGTGTGAAAATAATACAGCAAATTCACTCCCTTATTGGTCATTGGTTTTTACCAAGCTTGTTCAGTTCTGGGATTTTTATATTGGGGTATGTTTTAGGCATCTTGTTATTTCATAAATAGCAATAAAACATAAATGTAATATACACAATATGGATAATTCTATTGATTAATTTATAAATTTAAAGCCTTTTATTTTGGGTGTGGACCGTGATAGGTTTAAAACGTATTATAAAGTTACTTGAAAATATGGAATATGCGTGTGATAATAGGCTGAGTTATGGATTGAAGGGTTTATAGATTGAAGGCAGCAGGAGCACTTGTGAAAAAATATGCTATAGGCTCTCTGGACTCAGCTAGCTGTAGCTCACAGTGCTCGCTTGGTTAGATTGGGCTATTCCATTTAATATCCGTACCCCCCCTGTCGAGGATACCTGGAATTCTTCAGGGGTAGGGTGTTTTGAGCTTGGAATTCTTCAGGGGTAGGGTGTTTTGAGTTTGGAATTCTTCAGGGGTAGATTGTTTTGAGCTTGGAATTCTT